GGTGACGACTACCACATTGTATTCGTTAAAAACAGCTGGTGCTCGGACCCCTAGGACCACCGCTCGACTACCCCCCACCACCCCTTGCTTCGCCGACATCGGACACGATGCACTACCAACACGTCCACACCACCCACCTTTGCCGAATACGCCTTGAATGTCGCCCCTGTGACGCCGACGACGACCACAACCTCCAGCACCGCAGGTGAGCCATCTTATATTGCCCTACGGCTCACTATCAGTGCCAAACCCCTGCGATCACGTCGACGACCACGTACACGGCCCTGCCGCATTAGCAATGCGAACTACATGCCAACCTGTCTCCATTGCGATAAAATCACTCATTGGCTTGGTCGATCGTTTGCAGATCCATCACATTCACTCCGCTGAACCGGTGTCTGCGACCGCGACATACAGCCGTGGCAAGTGCCCCAACTGCCCAGGAACAGTCGCCCACCACATGGGCGTTCTCGAACATATCCTCTCTATGGATATCTGCAGTAAATGGGCGCAATATGATCCCGGTATCCATACCTCCCCCTTCCTCGAGCAAAAGGGAGACCCGCCGTTCATCCCCCGCCACTTGGGCAGTGGACGGGACTCTCGTGCGAGTGGCGAGTATGATCTGTTTTACCATGTTGTTCCCCAGGTTGTGTGCGACACACGCATGCGGAATGACGTAGTCAGGGGAGGCTTAGGGTCCTCTTAACCGACGTCCATTACCAACTCGGCCAATTCGTTCACGCGAGGAACATGACAATTTGTCACAATTATCCCCCTGGCGACATCTTTGGGAGCTTATGACTAGGGAGGCCTATTTATAACTAAGAGAGTATGACCTAGGACCGGGAATTTGTTCACCGGAGCACAGATGACCTGTTGCGGGCTCTGCAATTATCAAGGCGTTTATGACCGAAAGTTGACTAGTGTCTGGCGGAGCTTACTGGCCTCCGACCGATCGGTTCTTTTCTTTTTTCACTGCCTCAGCCTATTAGCAGGTATTTGGGTGGCTTGACGATTGCTTCCGTCACGCGTCGTCACCTCGATGGAGGCGCGAAATTGCAGACCCGCCTATAAGTAAACTGAGCAGAGGCGGTCCCGTGATGAATTCACTTCAAGGGAAAGCAGAGTTTCAACCATTCTCCGTAGAGTTGACGAGGCAGTAAACCTTACTAACAGTAACCAACGTGAACTTAGTGTAGAGGAGTTAAGTGCACTCCGTCCGACTTCAATTGGTTGGACTTCCTGTTAGCTGTGGATCATCATAAGAACGAGCTACTCACAATCGACACTAGCACTGTGCAGACGGTGTATCTTCTACGACGAAAAGAAGGCATTGCTTTGATGGGACCCTGACGGGTCCTTAATAAAAATTATATATTTCATTCCATTTAAAAAGAACACATAAACATCATTCTACATGCTGACGATGGAGGCTCTGCGGAGATTCTGTGCAAGGTAGACTCGCAAGGGACGTTATCAATGTTAAGGGACAGCACAAAGTGTAAACTTCTGGCTGCCGGCTCTATTGAATCGGAGAACTCGCGTTTGGATAAGTATTGAGACTTTTGGTAGGAAGGCTGGTTATTTCGCGGATTCTGGCAAAATCATTAA